CCCCCCCCCCCCCCCCCCTCCCCTGCTTTCCCTCCCGGAAAATAGGTACCAGGCGAACGGGCTCTTCTTCGAAACACCTAACGTCTCGTGGAGGGACGGGTGCTTCAACGTCGCGATTCCGACGCCGATGCATGCGGCCGCGCTTGCGAAGGCGGCCGAGGTTGAGCTCGCGTCAGAGCTGATACTGGAGTCTCGCGACGCGGCGTTCGAGTTCGGGACGCGAGACGCCGGGGCGCTGGCGGACGTGTACCGGGCGCACGTGCGGTGAGGTGGTTGGGCGTGTAACTGTCTCGGCTTTTGTTGTTGTCATTGCCGATGGTTCTGCTGCTGTTGCTGCTGTGTTATTGCTGTTGTGTAAGGGAGTTGCTGCTTGGGTGTCTAGTTGTGTTGAGGCATCGTTATCTCACTCATTTCCAAATTAACTGTATCACAGTTTTTGAACTTTTCGGGAAAGTTTTGCGGCGAGGCAGCGGCAGCAAGAAGCAACCTGCGAGCGGCGAGGATAACGTCCCAACCCCTTCCTGACGAGTCTCCATTTGCCGTTCCCCCGGTGGAGCGTGCCTCCCTCTTGCCCAGCAACCCGGACACGACACTACATGACACGACACGCAAAGCACCCCAAAGAAACCACGATGAAATTTTGCTTTTTGTATGACACGCGCCCCCAAGGTCGAAGATGGACGAGTTTGAGGCCGATGAAGGTTCGATTTTAGGGTCCCTGCTACTGGAGCCGCTGGTGATGGGCGCCGGCGGCATGGTGTTCGTTGACCCGCTTTTCCAGCGGGTGCTCGTGCAGGTGATGGAAGGGGCTGAAACACAAGAAAATAAACGAACGTATGCATACTTGGTACGATTTATTTCTCCCGCGAGAGGCGGTGTTGACGAGAGAAGGCGGCGATATATCCAGGCTTCAGCAGTAGTCGCGCACGACTAGACCCCAGCAGCATGACCGTAGTATTGAGTTCGTCGTTTTGGCGTGACTCTTTTTTTTTTTTTCAAATTTCCACATGTGCCAGACTCTGGAGAGGAGAACACCCCACCCGGCACGCGCCCGTTTGTAACGTTGTAACGTACTCTTGGTGTAGTGCTTCCCCTGCCCTGGTCCACCCCGCGACCACGACAACAATCGCGATTGATACATAGAAGTGATGCGCCCACGGCATGCCGATCACCTTTTCCCACCCGGCTCACGCCCGTTGTGATGCTCTATCTGCTACCACCCTGCTCATCAAACCGACGCAACAAAAATCGCGATTGATACATAGGAGTGTCGCGCCCGCGGCTTGCCGGTGATTTTCGACGAAGTGTTCTGCGGGCTCTGGCGCCTAGGGGTGGAGAGCTCCCGGGAGCTGCTGGGCGAAGACCCCGACGTGTCCTGCTACGCCAAGCTGCTGACGGGGGGGCTCGTGCCGATGGCGGCGACGGTGGCGACCGAGCGAGTGTTCGACGCCTTCAGCGGCGCAAAGGTGACGATGCAAAGCTGACTTTATTTGCGACCTGGTATTTTGGTGAGGTTTAGTTGTGGTTGTGGCTCCCGGTGAAAAAAATAAGCCCGTGTGAGTTTGTTCGATATTGTAGCGTTCCCTGAACAAGTGGGGTTCGGTTGGGATATGTTTCGTTTCACGGGGCGGTTTCGGGCAATGCGGCTCTCTCTCTCTTCCGTACAGCCTTCGTTCCGCTTGAGCAGCAGAAGCCTATTGCTCAGTATACCGTGCGTCGACAGCCACACCAACGTCTCATTGAGGCAAAACCATGTTGGTGTTCATATCCTGCCCTCCTCACCCGCCCCCCCCCCCTCTTCCGTGCCCACTGCGTACCCCGGTGTGCCAGGCGGATTGCCTATTGCACGGGCACTCGTACACGGCGCACCCAGTGGGGTGTGCGGCTGCGGTGGAATTCTTGTCCCAGGCAAGACGCTCGAGATACTTGAATGAAGAGATAGGCTGGTGTTGTCCTTTTGTGACGATGCCCGCACGAGGTTGCATGCAGCTGCTCAATCCATCTACAGATTTGATGCGTTCGATGCGCAAATAAACGTCGTTCGTTTTGTTGATTTTTTTTTGCGGGTGGGTGGGGGGGGAACCAACCATGTGTATCCAATGCTGCTCACTGCATAGTTCCGGTTCCTGCGGGAGATTTTACGCGACGCAAGATACTACTCCTGGCCAGGTTTATCAGCCCTACAACCAATACAGAACAAGCGAGAGTCGACTTTATTTTTATTCGGCGGTTAAAATGCACCCAAACAATCCTACCCCAAGCTACTTGGTTTTACCCCCGTACCCGTCGTGCTTCGGCCATTTATTCATGTTTCTAATGTTGTCTACCCCACCGTGCGCGCCCACCCGCCCGCCCGCCCCGCCTTTTTGTTCGGCAACACAGCTTGAAAAGAGCTCCGTCTACCCGGGCACGGGCGGTCGGATGTCCGACTCATGGGACGAGCAGGCGGTGCGGGCCCTGTCGAGGCTGCCGACCGTTGACCGCGCCTTCGCCCTGGGGAGCGTGCTCGCGATTGAGATGAAGGCCGCCGACCGAGGGTAAGCTTGCAAGCCGATGCATGTAGTGGCAAGTCAACTATCTCTTGAACCGGTCGCCGTCAATGTAGTTGTGCAACCAGTTGAGTTATTTCTGAGAACAATGGGTACAAGCAGCCGTTTGTGTGAACGTTGTGTGAGAACATGTTGCGCAAACATCGGTTGCCGTAAAACGTTTGTGTATGCTGCTGGTGTTTTATTAGAAGATGTTCCAAGCAAGGCACAAACACCGGTGAGTGCTCTTTGGGTCGGACCATCAAGTACGTTGTTGTGCTGCATGGCTTAAAGCGATGCCTTTTGTCGGATGGATGGGTTTGCTGAGTGAGTGGTTGGCTTGACTAGAAACTAACACCGCGTTGGGCAGCAGTGGGAATGAAAGAAAGAAAGCCATCTCGGACAAGGGATGTCGGACAAGGGATGCCGCTGCTGTACATGTTTGCGCGCTTTTGTGTAGACAGTAGCGAACCAGGCATGTTGGCATGGATGGGGAGCGGCAGTGTGTAGGCACCGCATTGCTTGAACATCGCATGTGTTGGAAATGCCTCGACTCTCGGGTCCCCAAAACTGCAAACAACCCTGCACGCTCTGCCTGCAGCTACGACTCGCACGGAGCGGCAGAGGTAGTGCAGCGACTGCACGAGTCCGGGGTGTACGCCAGGGTGCTGGGCAACGTGGCGTACGTGATGGTCTCGCCAATCACGCCGGTGGAAGCTTGCGAAGGTTTGATGGCCACCGTGACGGGCGTGCTGAGGGGTCTCGGCGAGGATGGCGACGTCGGCGGCAGCGGGAAGGCGGATTCCGAGTCGGACTCCGTCGCATACAGTATTTGATCCTTTCGTGTTTGCTCCATGGTGGTTGTAGTTGTTGGGCTCCCTTCCCATACATAGGGGTCCAACAAAAATAAATAAATTATTTCGCGCGAGGCGCGAAAAGAAGGGTCGGAGAGAGACATCAAAGCAAGCGTAGATATATAGGGATGGAGCCTACGCCACCACGAAGGTCACCAGTGCGCACGCTCACACCTCACCCGATACCACCAGTCAGTCAGGGGATGAATGGGAGCGCTGTTTAGCCTTCATTATCATCAGCTCAGCGGCAGGCAGCAGTGCTGCCGCTGCTGCTGCTGCTGCTACTACTGTGCATGGGTGCGCACGTGCTTTCTGCGCTTTCGCTACTGGCAGAGGGCAACGGGCTCTAAAAATTGGCCCCGACCCCTCCCACGACGTGTGTATTTGGCCCCCTTGGCCCACAGCGCTGTGTACGTCTCACTTGTCTCTGTTTCTGGGGTGCGTCTGTTGTGGACGCAACGATCGGCCGGCAGACGAAGAGACCGCAGACAGAGATCTGACTTGTGTGCACTCGCATGTTTCCTCGCTTACGCTACTAGCAGTCGGCCTCGGGGTCTAAAAATAGCTTCCGACGCCAGCCACGATGTGTGCCTTTGGCCGGCCTTGGCCTACAGCAGTGTGTAGGCCTCGTTTTCTCTGTTGTGGGGATGCCTCTGTGCGGGAAGCTCCAAAGATCGGTAGGTTGAGGGTGATGCAGACGGACCGCGGATTGACTTGCGTCGTCACTCGATTGTGCTGCCGACAGCAGGCAACGGGCTGCAAGAGTCATACCCAACGCCTCCCGTGATGTGTGCCTTTTGCTGCTCTTGGCCTACAGCTGTCCGGATACTGCTGTGCTGGTTGTCTCGTATGTTGTCTAGGTGATGTGTGTGGTGCTGCTGTCAAGAGGATTTCGGTGATTCTGCCGAGAGCGTCGCGCCCATCGCCCCATCATCTGTCTTCATCTGTCTCTGTCTTACAAAATGTCTTACAAACTCGACAGGTGATTGGTGGGAGTTGCCTATCTGCCCGGCTCTACCCATCTAAAACATAGATAATTGTTGGAAGTTTTTCCGTGTTTTACGAAAAAATTGCCCTATCTATGGGTGCTATCCCAGTTTTTCTAGTCTACAGTTGGTTTTGTGGCGGGGTGCAGAGTTAGGTGGAGGTACGGCTGTGGTATGCTTGTTGGCGGAGCGAGGGTGTGGAGGCGAGTGTTGCTTCCGGAAACTAATAAGGTCGGGCAAGGTGTGGGCTTCGGCTTGGTAGTTGGTGAGAAATGTGGTATTCCGCGCGATCAAAGAGAGAGGATGATCGCCGCAAGGATAGCAGCACCTAGACCAAAGAGAGCATGGAAAGCACATGTTGTGACGTGGTCGGTGCACCTTATTTGTGTCTGTTGTGTCAAAGGATTGTTCGTTTATCAGAGACAGAGAATGTTGCGTCCAGCAGAGAGCAGCTTCTCCTCTGATTGGGATATCTACCAAGCTCACGTACCATGGACATGTAGACGAAAGCAGTTGCGCTAAAAACGCTCCTGTGTCACCAACACTGCGCTGCTCTTCACTGGAAACATCCTGCAGCACAAACACAAAACTAACTCTCACCGGAAATATTTACTTAAAAGGTACGACTCTCGTTTTTTCTCATCATCCGCGTGAAAGCGAAAGGAATGAATGAAGAATGTGTGCGATCGATTCCACACGATCCATTCTTGTGGCACTGGAGCGCCGATCGGTCAAACCACCATCACGGAGGAGCCAATACCTGCTGACAATTCAACAGGCTCTGTCGATATCGCACAGCCCTACTGTAGATACATGTCACCGCACGCCTGGCAGGAACCGCGCCGTTGCGCCACACCCTGGGTGCTCATGACCACATGTTTTTTCATTTTTTTTGTTTTAAGGATCATACGCACAAGCTGCCGACCGTTGCACATGGAAGAGCGGCGCAAGAGCATCGCGGCGCAGAAGCAGCAGCAGGATGCAATGCAAACACCAAGTTGTTTGTTCGTCCCTCAACCCGTGCTCTCCTGCCTCTTGTCACCCCCCACCCCGCGAATCTTGAAAGCCAACACTCCCTCAAATAAATCACCTGAACGAACTCAAGGGATGGCCACTGCACGCTCTCGTCTAGGACAACTCGTCTATTGTGGGGGCACCCGTGTCTGCGCCCCCGTGGACTTTCAAATCAAGGGCACAAATCACTTGCGTGTCCTCGGCCGCCGGCACATAAACAAACACTTCAATGTTGGCGCGTGTTCGCTATCGCCTCTCTTGTTACTGATCACTCCAACCACTCCCCAGAGGCGACTTGAGGATGTCTACTGACGCCGTTTTGCAGAACTCGTATTGAATTCGTGCTACTAGATCTACTGCTGTAGACTGACAGGGACCGGCACAAAAAGCGCTCATCCAGCAACACAGTATCTACGGTGCATTTCAACGTAGACGTATCTACGGTAGATTTCAACGCGGGCGTCCTCGACAAAATCCCGACTTTTCTGACCAAATGCGCTCAGGCAGCAACAGCAACAGCAACAGCTGCACGCCCCTCATTCGACGCGTATAAGGACAGAGTGATCAAGCAGCACACACCGCTCACGACCGACGACGACGAAATGGAAACAAACGTCGATCGTGGCGGAGGGGTTCGTGTGAGGAAAAGCGAGCGTCAATAAAACAACGAGCGTTGGCGAGGATGCCGTCAGATCGGCAACCAAGCCCGCAGGACACAAAAGAGACGCATGCAGGCAACACGCCCATCGTGGCCGTCACCGCTTTACAGCCCCCGACACTATAATACTGTAGACGTGTCACCAAAGAAATGCGCCGGCCACCCTGAAAAACCTAAAACCTCAACAAAGGATAATACGCTCGAAGAGCCGGCGCGTTTGTAAGCAGGGGGCGGCGGCAAGGGACCCTCGACTGAGATTGATTGGTGGCTGCGTGAAATCAATCAACGGCGGGCCGTGCGCCCAGTGCGGCTCCCACTGCTGTAGTAGCCGCTGCTGCTGCTGCTGCTGAGCCTGCTGCTGCTTCGGTTTCCCTCCTTGTCCTTGTTGCGCATGAGGATGATGCAGATGCGCACGAAAATGCCCACGAAGTCGATAAACAGCTCGGCCGCGTGCCACGCGAAGTCCCTCTCTCCGAGGGTAGCCTTCTCCACCACTAGCTGGGTGTCGAATATCACGTAACTTTACCGGGGGGGGGTCGCCGGA